TCAGTCCTGCCAAGAACTCTCCTGACTTACGTTTGAATGTCACCATTGTACATATTTTGGTTTGATGCCGTAAGAAGCTACTGAAAGTGTATCTGCTATTTCAGCCTATGCCACATCTACTCTTCACGCAAATCTGTTTTGACAATAATCACTATTAAAAGTTGTCACTACCCGCATAAGGTTATATATTTTCCAAACCATATCGAAAAGGCTTCCCCATTAGTCATACAAAATCCTTGGATTTGCACGCCCTAAGGAATTTGAGAGATGAATTCTTGGGCAGATGTAGAAGACCCAAGATGGTATGAAGATATAGGATAAGTGGCGGTAGAGAAGTTGAGGGCAGAAAAGATAATGCATGAAGGCTTGTTGGGGTGCGCAAAGGAGTGTGTTTGAATAATGGGAAAAGAGGACAAAGCGAGAAGTTGTACGGTCTTATCATGTGGCCTAGAGCCGCAAATCGGAGACTCGGGGTTCTTTCGAAAATGGTCCAAGCAAAGTACTTTTTGCAAGTGTCTGCCAAGTAAAATCCTGCAGGCTCGAACTCAACGATAGGGTCGTTGGTAGACTTGCTTGGGTTTCGACGCTCGGTGAACGTGACAGTCCGACCAGCTTTGCCATGACGCAAATTTGGCGCAGCGTGGAGACGATGAGTGTGGTTATCGTCATCTCAAGGAATGGCTGGCCAGGCGAGTTGGTTCGGTATGGGTTACGAGACTGACTAGAGCCCAGTGGCTCTGGAAGAATCCAGCAGCAACAACTATCGTGTATGCTAGTGGAGGCCTCAATCCTTCCATTCATGTGCCACCGATTCATCTCTCCGCTTTCTTTTCACCGGCGTTGACTCCATTCCAATCCTAGTACAGCCATTTGGGGATTTTCTCTGTGGCAAGTCTATTGAAGTAGATTCCTTACCTCATCCGTACGAGTTTAAATCCCGAAGAGACCTCTTTGATGAGTTGTAATATGCTGCTACGGATGTTGACTACGATGCCGGCGAAACGTCTGAGAATGTACCGCATCCACAATCCTACTCTGGAAATGATTATGCATACAATTGACTTCGGACTAGGTGCGTTCCTCTAAGTCTTCCTACCAATATGACCGAGTGGCGAAAACAAGGTCAAACAACTTCTATGGCAGATTAAGCTCATCAACCAAA